ATTTAATGAATAAAATGAATGTTTTTCTCAATTCCACAAAATTTAATGAATAAAATGAATGTTTTTCTCAAGTCTTCACAATTTAATGAATAAAATGAATGTTTTTCTCAAGTCCACAAAAATTTAAATTAATAAAATTATTGCTTTTTTTCAAGTCCACACAATTTAATGAATAAAAATGAATGTTTTTCTCAAGTCTTAACACAATTTAGAATTGATATAAAATATGAAGAAGGGAATTAAAGCATAAAAAGAAAATAAATGATAAGTAAGAAAATAAATAGATGAAAGAAATAAATTTATGAAAAAAAACAATGAATAAGTGAATGAATTATTGATTGAAAATATAAACAAACAAATAAATGACTAAATAAACACATTTCCCTATTTCTTAAAATCGAAATGACCATCAACAGGAAATAAATAAGGAAGGGAGGAGAGAGAGAGAGAGAGAGAAGAGAGAGAGAGAGAGAGAGAGAGAGAGAGAGAGAGAGAGAGAGAGAGAGAGAGAGAGAGAGAGAGAGAGAGAGAAGAGTGATCGAGAGAGAGAGAAGATATCGAGAGACAGAGACAAAAGGAGAACAAGAGCAAGAGAAAGAGAATATAAAAAAAGAAATATCAAGAAAGAAAGAAAAAGAGAGAACACAGAAAATCAAAAATTTAAAAAAAAGTAACAGAGAGCGTAACCGACAATAGAACACATTAGCGTATTACTTCGCCCCGAAAAAGGCGACTTCAAGATACCCACGATATGGCAACACTCGTAAACTTACGCAAGAGGAGTGCCCTCTTAGGGGGGGGGGGGATGGAGGAGGGGGTGGAGCAGGAGGAGGAAAAGGAAGAGGAGGGGAAAAGGAAGAGGAAGAGGAAGAGGAGGAGGAGGAGGGAATCAGGAATCAGAATCAGGAGGAAGGGAGGGGGGGGAGGGGGGAGGGGGGAGGAGGGAGGGAGAGGAGGAGGGGGGGAGGAAGGAGGTGGAGGAGGAGGAGGAGGAGGTGAATCAGAGAGGGAGGGGGGAGGAGGGGGGGAGGAGGAGGAGGAGGAGAGGAGGAGGAGGGAGGATAGGAGGAGGACGGAGGAGGAGGATTTAGATTAGATTTAGATTTAGATCTAATTCCATTTGTTACAATGGACATTCTTTGCAGTGACATTACTGTCTGCTTTAAGTTTTGCTTCCAGGAAGGAGGAGGAGGAGGAGGAGGAGGAGAAGGAGGAGAGGAAGAGGGGAGGAGGAGGAGGAGGAAAAGATAGAGGAGGAAAAAAAGTGTGGAAGTTAAGTGAGCGTTAATGAAAAGGAAGGAGGCAGAGGAGGAGGAGGTTGTAGGAGATAAAAAGAAAGAGAAGGAAAGAGATAGAGGGGAGATAGATAAAAAATAGATAGAGAGCGAGAGAGAGATAAAGAGAAATAGAGAAGATAAAGAGAGAGGGAGAGAGATAAAGAGAATACAGGTGTGTACGGGAGTGTAGAAAATGAACTAAGAATAACACACACAATACAATACAAACCAAAACACAAGAAAACAGCAAAAAATATATGTTCTTGTTCACCTATTATATCCAGTAAGAACTACGAAAAACGAAATAACTTTGACCGAAACAATAACAAAGAAAAGAAAAGAAAATGAAAAAAACTAGAGAAAAGAAAATGAAAAAACTAGAGAAAAAAAAAAACGAAACAAAAGAAAAATGGAACAAAAAAAAAAAAAATAATAATAATAATAATAAAAAGAAAAATAGACAGAAAACACGTTGTTTCACCTCCCGTTGTTCTTTTCTTTTTATTATGATTCCCTCCAAAGCCTTAAGGAAGCCCAATCTACCCAAATCTAGGAAGACATAATGAATCTTTCGGGTAAGCCACGGACGGCCAGCCAAGGGGGGGGGGGGATCTGAACCCATGTTAAAAACGCCCCTGGGACCCTTAAAAAAAAAAAAAAAAAAAAAAAAAAAAAAAAAAAAATGGGTGGTCAGACAGACACCTCAAAGGTACATAAAAAAGTTATGGGAGATGTAGGGGGAATGGAGAGGAAGGGAGGGGGGAGGGAGGGTGAAGAGAAGAGAGGGAGAGGGAATGGGAGAGGAAGGGAGGGAGGAGGGAGGAGGAGTGGGAGTGGGGAAGGGAGTGGGAGGAGAGATGGCAGGGAGAGAGAGGGAGAGGAATACAGGGAAAAAAGGGAGAGGGAGGGAAAGGGTGGGAAAGGAGGGAGGAGGGAGAAGAAGGGAGAGAGAGAGAGAGAAGAGAGAGAGAGAGAGAGAGAGAGAGAGAGAGAGAGAGAGAGAGAGAGAGAGAGAGAGAGAGAGAGAGAGAGAGAGAGAGAGAGAGAGAGAGAGAGAGAGAAGAGAGAGAGAGAAAGAGAGAAGAGAGAGAGAAGGAGAGAAGAGAGAGAGAGAGAGAGAGAGAGAGAGAAGAGAGAGAAGAGAAGAGAGAGAGAGAGAGAGAGAGAGAGACAGACAGAGACAGAGACAGAGAAAGAGAAAGGGCATATCAGGAGATACAAAGAGAAAAAAAGTAAACAATAAAGAGAGAGAGAGAACCGGAGACGAACAAACATTCCACCCTACCCCCCCCTCCCCTACCCCCAACCCAAAAAATAAAACGAACTCGACCTCACACCACCACTCCCCCCTCTCCCTCCCTCCTCCCTCCTCCCCTTTTTCTCCCCCCCCCCCCCAGCGGAAGGCAAAGACCGACCCTTACCATCTTGAGCAAAAAAAAAATTTAACGACACTTCGGGGACCCAAGAAAGGAGACATCTCAGAATGCGACTTGAAGAAGGTGAGAGAAGGTGACGCGGCGGCAGGTTCTCGTTCCGGGCCTAGCGGCGCGACGGCAAAGGGTATCGCCGCAAGGAATCGGTTTTGCCGAAGCCAAATAAGGGCTTAGGAAATGGTGAATAACTGAGGAATAGGAATAAAATGTGGAAAGGAGGGAAATGGTTGTGTGTCTTCTTAGGAAATGCCTGGTTTGCGATGAAAAAATGTAATGGTAATGGTAACAGTAATGATAATAAGGATAAAATCAACATAATCAGAATAATGACCCATAATGGTACTAATACTACAACTACTGCTATAAATAATCATAACAAGAAATGAAAATATGAATAAAAAATATTGATATGACTAAAATAATATATAATATATAATTAATAATAATAATAATAATAACAATAACAAAATAATTACAACAACAAAAACAATAATAACAATAAAAACAACAATATTAAAATAATAATAATAATAACAGCAAACAATAATATTAATAACAACAAAATCAACACAAGCAACGACAATAATGATAATAATGCCAAAAAACAACGAAAGTAAACAACAACAACACCCACAAAACAAATAAAAAAGAACAAAGAAACACATACACAACACGAACCACCTGAATCCAACGTATTTCAGAACCACACAAAAACACTCTTTCAAAAACAATAATAAAAAAAACATAAAACAAACACACGACAGAAGCAACTGAAGTCCTCTGGTAAAATATATAAGTTTCCCCTTCATCTCGAATGGATATGGATATTAGGAAGAAAAATAAAAAACGGAGAAGTTCGTCCAAAGGATTTCCTTCATTGGCCAAGAATTCGGAGAAGGATTAGAGAGGATAAGGAGGATGGAGGAAGGGAGAAGGATATGATAAAGGAGGGAAGGAGAGGGAGGGGGAAGGAGGGATGAAAAAGGAGGGGGGAGGAGAGGGAGGGATGAAAAGAAGAGGAGAGGGGAGATGGAGGGATGAAAAGGAGGGGGAGGAGAGGAGAGGGAGAGAGAGAGAGAGAGAGAGAGAGAGAGAGAGAGAGAGAGAGAGAGAGAGAGACAGAGAGAGAGAGAGAGAGAGAAGAGAGAGAGAGAGAGAGAGAGAAGAGAGAGAGCCAGAGAGAGAGAGAGAGAGAGAAGAACCAAGATACAGAACCAGAGAACAGCCAAATCGAAAAAATGAGAGAAGAGAGAACCGAGAGGGAGAGAGCAGGAAAGCCCGAGAGCGCCTCCCTCCCTCCCTCCCTCCCTCCCTCTCTACCTCCCTCCCTCCTCAACCCTCCTCCCTCCCTCCCTCGCCTCCCTCCCCAACCCCCCACCCCCGCCCAAGGTCGTTCGTCCGGCGAGGTGCTCTCCTGGTTATTACTCTCCATATCTCATTTCCCTTTTTTTATCCGCCTCGCTCTCGAACGAAAACAAAACACACGACGCACACAATCAAACAATCACACACACATTCAAACACACACCAGATACACACCGCGCGCGCACACAGGCACAAGAGAGAAAAGCGGAAGGGAAATAAAGGAGATCCATACATACATGCATACATACACATATATATACTTAATAAATATACCACACAAATAAAATACACATACACACAATATATACAACACACACACACACACACAAATCAATATTATATATAACATGTATATATATTGTAAATATATATAAATATATATATATATATATATATATATATATATTATATATATATATATTATATGTGTGTTGTGTGTGTGTGTGGTGTGTGTGTGTGTGTGTGTGTGTGTGTGTGTGTGTGTGGTGTGTGTGTGTGTTGTGAGAAGAGAGAGAGAGAGAGAGAGAGAGAGAGAGAGAGAGAGAGAGAGAGAGAAGAGAGAGAGAGAGAGAGAGAGAGAGAGAAAGAGAAAGAGAAAGAGAAAGAGAAAGAGTAAAGTAGAGAAAGAGAGAGAGAGAGAGAGAGAGAGAGAGAGAGAGAGAGAGAGAGAGAGAGAGAGAGAGAGAAGAGAGAGAGAGAGAGAGAGAGTAGAAGAGAGAGACGAGAAACAAGACAGAAACAGACAGACAGAAGAGACCGAAAAAGACAAACAACAAAGACAAACAAAACAAAAAATAAACAGACATAAACACCGNAGAGAAACACAACACCTATACATCTAAACTAGAAAGAATCCCAACAAACATAAAAGTCAAAGGTTCACCACAGGCTTTGCAAAGCACTTGGCTAATCCAAAAAAGCTCTCTCACCTTGCCAGGAGATACTGTGATTGTGGTTGTGAGTGGGACGTGGGCTGGACTAGTAGCGGAGGAGGCTGGTGGTGGGTCGTCACCACATTCGCTGTGCTGCTCGACCCAAGGTTGACCATGACTCCACTGTGACTACCACTGCTCCCTCCTCCTCCGCTGCCCCCTCCACCCCCTCCACTCCCGCCGCCACTATTCGATGCGCTTCCACTTGCCCCGCTGCCAACCCCTCCGGTGCTGGGACCTCCACCACGTCTAGGAAGTCGCTCCAACTGCTGACGAAGACCAGCAGCCTGTAAGTCATTGCCACCGTGAACTTGGGATGGAAGATTTTTTTTTCTTTTTTTTTTTAATTATTACTGCCAATACGTGAGAAGAGGAAAACACTTGAGGAAAAAACATTTAAACAAAATTGCCAAGATAATTATTTACTATTGTTTTCTTTCCCTCAGCAAAAAATGAAGTAAACTATGAATATCTAATGTGAATTTTATAGTTTACAAGCATTTTTTTTTCTTGGCAGCAAAAATCTACTCATCCTTTGTTCAGCTGATTCTATGCTACCCAGAGCATTTGACATTTGACAACAGGCATTCTTTATGCATATATCATTTATGAGAAGAGAAATAAATAATGTTCCTTTCTCATATTCATATATTCATTTTCCTTATCATAATGCAAATTCAGTCAATCAATATGAAAAAAAGGAAATAACTAATAAGGACAATACAGATGTGAATAAAATAACTTGTAATAGAGTGAAATACATAAATAAAAGATGAAACAAAGTAACAATCCATAAAAAAAAAAATCAAATAACTAATAACAATGTAGTAAAAACAACAGACCTCTCCTTTATACACTTACACCTATAAACCTTACATAAACCTTTGCATCAAAACCTAAAGACCTTGACCGTGAAGAGGAAATATAGCTATGAGCAGAGTATACAAACAGTGGTGTATAATCAATGGTTATTAACAGCTAAATCACATGATTACTTCAAGCCTAATCTCCCTTAGCTAAAGTAAATCTATACATTTCTTTATACTTTCAATCTTCTATTTTTACATATGCCTATAATCACAATAAACAAAAATGGGAGTGATGATCTTACCTATTCCAAACAAAATCTAATCAAATACAGAACCTTCAGCATCAGTCATAAAAATTCCTGCTTTTTCAGTAAAGGTGAAATTTTACATGTCCATTTATATCACAGCTAGGGTCAAGAACAACTGTTTTAACTCTATGATCTTAGGGGGGGTATGTACATCCATCCCATGTCCACACTGGTTTTAGTTAAGTTTTTCTTTAATATACAGATGGTTTCATAAGTCACAAAGGAGCTAATCACACCTGATCTCACCCATTTACACTTTCCCGTTATTTGTGTATTTTTTCAAGGAATATGGTTTATAGCATTATTATTATAATAATGTCAATAATAATAACAACAACAGTATTAAAAAAAAAACTTTTTCTAAAAAAATCCATGGAAACAGGTAGTAGGTGAGGTCAGGTATGCCTACTAACTGACTCCTAGGTACCTATGGACCCATCCATGTGTAAAGAAATTTCATAAACGGAAACTGCCGTGAACAGTGCATATCCCCACTAAAAATGGGTTAAATAATTGAGAGATGTTAAGAGTTATAGTTTACTTCTTATTACAACCTGACATTTTCAAGTTTCAGTACCTGTTTCAAATAGATTCATTTCACTTAGAAAGGTCTGCCTTACGATGTTGTACAATGATAATGATATATTTCATTGCCATCTACCAGGTGAATTTCATAACCACCTTCTTTGCTGATTTCTTTTACCCATTTTGCTTTAATTATCTTCTATGGATTCCAAAAATCACATATTCATATGAGAGAACTAAACAAGGTGCAAGAATTATTAGCCAGACTACTTTGGACAGTTTATCTATAGCACAGTATACTAAAAAGGTTCCCTTCCTTTAACTTCTAACAGAAAATGCAAACATGAGAAAATGAGAGAGAAAAATGCAGTTATGTAGGGCAAACCAGAGAAGCAGATGCAAGTTTCTGGACTTCTCAATTCATTCTTTCACAAATGTCTTGATTTCTGAATTCATTCTCTCACCTAGTCACACTATAAATTCATATATCTTTAAGGATTACAAAACAATAAATACAGAAGCTAAAAATTTCACCTTTTGTATAGCAACATTAAAAATCCTGAGGTGGGAGACCAAATCCTTTAGTAAAATGGAAGCAACATCTATTCACTAATGGCTTGCAAGTGGTTCATATACATAGTACTTTTTTATGATTACCTTTATAATATATATGTAATATTTCACTAAACTAGAACTTTCTGATTAATTTTCCAGTTTCTTGCCAATTAAAAGGAACTGCATTGCATCTGCAAATATTGCTACTCCTTGTATCCTAAGTAGGGATAAATAAAATGAAAGTCTTCAAACTGTTAATGTATCTCTGGCTACAACAGCATTACTGTCCAGTATAGTCATATCAAAAACAATTTCTCAAAGATGGATTTGGCATGGCCTAGGCAACTCTTTCCACAAGGGGCTTTATCCAAAACCAAACCCTGAACCTCTGCACCTTTCACTGAAGGCAGGGTTTATGAGATGTCTTTATTTTTCCTGGTTTCTCTTAAACTTACACAAAGTGGTGACATCCTGTCTCAATGTGCACCTCAGCACATGCATATACACTCACTCACGCATACTCAAAACATTAACATAAACACAGATAAAATCAAGCAACACAAATACACCAACACACACAATCGCAAATACAAGCATGCAAGCACATACACACGCACTCACACACACACACATATGCACGCATGCACACGTGCATGTTCTCTCTCTCTCTCTCTCTCTCTCTCTTTCATCTCTCTCTCTCTCTTTCATCTCTCTCTCTCTCTTTCATCTCTCTCTCTCTCTCTCTCTTTCTCTCTCATCTCTCCTCTCTTCTCTTTCACTCCTCTCTCTCTCTTCATCTCTCTCTCTTTCATCTCTCTCTCTCTCTTTCATCTCTCTCTCTCATCTCTCTCTCTCTTTCATCTCTCTCTCTCTCTTTCATCTCTCTCTCTCTCTTTCATCTCTCTCTCTCTCTTTCATCTCTCTCTCTCTCTTTCATCTCTCTCTCTTCTCTTCATCTCTCTCTCTCTCTTTCATCTCTCTCTCTCTCTCCTCTCTCTCTCTTCTCTCTCTCTCTCTCTCTCTCTCTCTCTCTCTCTCTCTCTCTCTCTCTCTCTCTTTCTCACTCCCTTACACTATACTCACATCTCACACATACTCACACTCACACATACTCACACTCACACATACTCACACTCACACATACTCACACTCACACTACTCACACTCACACTACTCACACGCACACCCACACCCACACCCACACGCACACGGCACACCACACGCCCACACCACACGCACACCCACACGCACACCCACACGCACACCCACACCCACACGCACACCCACACGCACACCCACACCACACCCACACCCACACCCACACTGCACACCCACACGCACACCCACACCCACACCACACCACACGCACACCCACACCCACACGCACACCCCACACCCACACGCACACCCACACCCACACCCACACCACTACGCACATCCCACACCCACACGCACACCCACACCCACACGTGCAATGTTGAATGGTGTGTGTGAAACAATGAGTGAGTGAGTGAGTCAGTGAGTGACTGAATGAGTAAGTAAGTAAGTGAGTGAGTGAGTGCATGAGTAAGAGTGTGAGTGTGAGAGAGCAAAAGTAAGCATGAATGTGTGTCCCAGCATGAGTATGAGCGGCAGTGAGAGTATGAGTGATAGTGTAGGTGTGAAAGCCAATGTGAGTGTGAGTGTAAGTGCCAGTGCAACAAAGTGAGTGAGAGTCTAAAAGTGTAAAAGTGTGGATGTGAGTGTAAGGGTGAGTGTGATAGTGAAAATGAATACTTTTATACAGTCTACTTAATAAATACATAAATACACATTAACACACATGAATCTAGCAAAATGTAATAAGGTTAACATAAAAAAATCTACATAATCATCTATGAAAAATAAAATGTAAAGTAGACATTGAGATGCTACAACTTTAAATAAAATCATATTTAACTGAGACTGAGAGAAGGTCAAATATATATATCAAATAACAAAGAAACTACAGCAGAAGTTATGTGTGCAATGACTAGTTAATGCCACCCATTTTCAAAGTTAAAATATAAGAGATACCATAGATACAGACAATACAGAAGAGAGAGAAAAAAATAGAATCTAAAAACTAACAATGTCGTTTTAGGGGTCAAGAAGACTTGTAAGAGGCAGTAAACCCACATGCAGGCATTTCTGTTAATCACTAATTGTATACATATGATTACACATGGAAACATATTACACAAAAATCACACAGATTAGTACATGCCTACAGAACCAACAAACCTGATATCAAACCAGGTCTCAGCCGCTTTTCTTCAATATCAATCTCGTTCCTTAAATATTAGGGCTAAATCTCTTACTTTTCTGAAAATCCCCCTTCTACCACACCAAATAAAATGAGAAATCCAAACACGAGCCACTGCAATCCCAAACATACACCAGAGAGGCATCATTACTAAGCAAATTCTGACTCGTATGGAAATTACCAGTCTTGAAAACTAGGGACATTTCATTTAGGTAAATGGGGTTCTCATAGCGGGGGGGAAAAATACCAGAACAACTATGACTAACCCCAGCATATGTATTTGATTATACAAACATAACTAACTACGAAGTGAAGCGAATATGTATTATTTGAATAGATTCTTAAAAAAAAATGCTAAAAATGCGAGAAAACAATTGCCGTAAGAAATAAGAAATTTATACTAGGTACATCACATGTAAGGTAAAACAAAAATTACTCATGTAAAGTAAGAGAGAGAAAACTTATACATAAAGACTAGCATGAGTTTATCGCCAACACAAAACAAAGGCAAGATGACATGTCTAACAAAATGCCTAAAAAAACTAAAAAAAGATAAGCAGACACATAAAATCCCTAGTCAGCCACATCATAAAAATAAATAAGAACAAAAATTCAAGGAAGTGCACTCCATGTAAACAAAAGGGATGTTCAATCACATCGTAGAAATGCAAATATGTGGTGTGGTTAAATAACTGAGAATTTATCAATATTAATAAGCATGTTGTGGAATAGTGGTGAGGATGAGGTATACAAGTCACTATATAGCTTTAAATTTCACAATATAAATAACAAGTCAATGCTTGATATCTTTCACAATTTCATAGAATTACATGGAGATGCTTGACTCTAGTTCTTGTTATAAAAAAAAGAAAAAAAATCTTGAATCTCTACAAAGTAAAAAATAATAACAATAAAAAAAGACAATTAAGCTAGCCAACAGCAAAAGACTTTTTAGACATTCTGCATCATTACATTGCATTCACTGACAAAGCCTCACAGATATATAAGAATGCTTCCTATCTTTACAATAAGTGTTATTTTTTACTGTTAATCTTTGTGACAAATAATCCAATTAAGTTACATCTGAAGAATACTGAAGCATAAATAAATGTCTGAGTTTTCATTCCAGCAGGAAACGGGTAAAAGGCATCTAAGAACACTTGGGATATTATGCCTTTACAGAAAGGGTTTAAAAACACCCATTACAGCAAGTACGTGGTCCACAGGATATTCAAGAGGCTCAAACGCGATGCAGGGATTAAAATCAGTAACTCTTCAAGTGCAGAGCACTAAAGATCTAAAGACCTGGCTGGTTGGCTGGCCTGCTACCTGCTGCCGTTCTAACTGAATCTGCAACTGTTGCAGCTGTGAGGCAGCAGAAGAGGAGTTGTCACTTGCCGTGGCTCGACGCACTCCCGAAAGCTGCGAGAGTAACTCAGCAATGGGATCCATCGACTCGCGTGAAGATGGAGAAAACAGACCACTGCTGACACTCCTTTTAAGACAAGAACAAAATGATTTCCTTATAAACAACATTTCACAGAATGTATACCAGAAGAAACAATATAAATTGAAAGAAGAATTATATATCAAATTAAACACAAAATCAACATAGGTCAATTTTAATTTACATAATATACAACAGCTTCATTTACATATGATCTAACTCTATTGTCAGAAATTCTTTACTGAACTTATTTTCTATGTACCTCAAAACAACACAATACATCAATACTAAAAATGAAAATAGTTATAAAGAAGGTTGAGGAGAAAAATTAAAAGAAGGAACAGGAAAAAGGACAAGGAACTAGAGAAAGGATGATAAAAGGGAGGTTGATAAGGAAGAGGAAGGCAAGGAGGAGGAGAGGGAGGGAAAAAAGGGGTTTAGAAGGAAAAGAAATAGGAAGGAAAAGAAACAGGAAGAGAAAAAAGAAAGTGGAAGAGAGAAAACAAGTAGGAAGAGGGAAAAGAAGAGGAAAAAACAAAATGAGGAATAATAGGTAAAGGAAAAAATGAAAAGGAGGAGGAAAAAGAGGATGGAGGAGGAGGAGTAGGAAGAGGAGGAGAAAAAGCAGGAGGAGGAGGAGGAGGAGGACATGGAGGAGGAGGAGGAGATGTAGGAGAGAGATAATGATGAGGAGGGAAAGAAGGGGTGTTAGGGAAGGGGAGGGGGAGAAGATGAAGGAGATAGATAATAAGGAGGAGGGAGATAATGGAGACAAGGAAAAAGAAAGTGGAAGAGAGAAAACAAGTAGGAAGAGGGAAAAGAAGAGGAAAAAAACAAAATGAGGAATAAGAGGTCAAGAACAAACAAGAGAGGAGGAGGAGGAGGAGGAGGTGAAGGAGGAGGAGGAGGGGGGGAGGAGGAGAGGAGGAGGAGGAGGAGGAGGAGGAGGAGGAGGAAGAGGAGGAGGAGGAGCAGGAGGAGGAGGAGGAGGAGGGCAGGAGGAGCAGCAGGAGAAAGAGGAGGAGCAGGAGAAGCAGAGGAGAAAGAGGAGGAGGAGAGGAGGAGGAGGAGGAGGAGGAGGAGGAGAGGAGGAGAGGAGGAGGAGGAGCAGGAGGAAGAAAGAGGGGAGGTGAGGAGGAAAAACAGGAGGAGGAGGAGATGCAGGAAAGAGATAATGATGACAAGGAGAGGAAGGGGAGGATGAGGATGAGGATGACGAGGATGAGGAGGATGAGATGACGAGGAAGAGCAGGAGAAAGAGGAGGAGTTGGAGCAGGAGAGAGAGGAGGAGTTGCAGCAGGAGAGAGAGGAGTTGGAGCAGAAGAGGAAAAGAGGAGGAGTTGGAGCAGGAGAGAGAGGAGGAGTTGGAGCAGAAGAGGAGATATAAGGAGGAGGGGGTGGAGAAAAGATGGAGGAGAGAGAGGAGGAGAGAGACAGAGAAAGACAAGGAGAGGAAGAGGAGCAGAGAAGGGGAGGAGAAGGAGGAGGAGAAAGAGAAAGAGAAGAGAAAGAGAAAGAGGAGGAGGAAGGAGGAGGAGGAGGAGGAGGAGGAGGAGAAGGAGGAGGAGAGGAGGAGGAGAGAAGGAGAAGGGGGAGGAGAAGGAGAAGGGGAGAGGAAGAGGAA